GGATGTAGGTGTCTTAAGCAGCATCTTGACCACTGTGTCAAATGCCCTGACCACGTTAAAAGTCTTTCTGTGGTTCTCCACATCCAGGTTGGGTGATGTGTGGACGGCTTTGCTCACCACATCAGGCAAAACAAGTCTCCAGTTCCAGCTGGGGATAACACATTTTGTTTTCTTCTCATTGCCAATAGAACTCTCGTCTACTCTTTAGCTCAAGATTACCTTTTATTTTTTTATTATTTTTTTGTCTTGCAGTTTTTATTTTATATTTTTTTAACTTTTATTTAGTAAATATAAATTTCCAAAGTACAGTTTATGGATTACAATGGCTTTTCCCCCGCATAATTTCCCTCCCACCTGCACCCCTCCCATCGCCCGCTCCCTCTCCCATTCCATTCACATAAAGATTCTTTTTCAATTATCTTTATATACAGAAGATCAGTTTAGTATATATTAAGTAAAGATTTCAACAGTTTGCACCCACACAGAACATAAAGTGTAAAATACTGTTTCAGTACTAGTTATAGCATTAATTCACATTGGACAACACATTAAGGACAGAGATCCCACATGAGGAATAAGTGCACAGTGACTCCTGTTGTTGACTTTACAAATTGACACTCTTGTTTATGGCGTCAGTAATCTCCCTAGGCTCTAGTCATGAGTTGCCAAGGCTATGGAAGCCTTTTGAGTTTGCCGACTCTGATCATATTTAGACAAGGTTATAGTCAAAGTGGAAGTTCTCTCCTCCCTTCAGAGAAAGGTATCTCCTTCTTTGATGGCTCGTTCTTTCTACTGGGATCTCACAGAGATCTTTCTTTCATTTAGTTTTTTTTTGTTTTGTTTTATTTTTTTGTTTTGTTTTGTTTTTTGCCACAGTGTCTTGGCTTTCCATGCCTAAAATACTCTCAGCCAGATCCGAATGCCTTAAGGGCTGATTCTGAGGCCAGAGTGCTGTTTAGGACATCTGCCATTCTATGAGTCTGCTGTGTATCCCACTTCCCATGTTGGATTGTTCTCTCCCTTTTTTATTCTATCAGTTAGTATTAGCAGACACTACTTGTTTGTGTGATCCCTTTGACTCTTAGACCTATCAGTGCGATCAATTGTGAACTGGAATTGATCACTTGGACTAGTGAGATAGCATTGGTACATGCAATCTTGATGGGATTGTATTGGAATCCTAGAAATGTGCCAGGATTACCTTTTAAAAATTTTCCCTAAAACCAACTTCTGGGCTCTTCCTTAGTTGGTAATGACTAAAATGAAAACATGATAGAAGAGCTTACTGGTTATTTCGGATACAGCTACAAGCAGGAATGAGGTGAGGACAGAGCTGGAAGCATATAAGGAGTGGAAACAGCGATATCTGCATTTGAGATGGCGCTGCTGGCCCCAGCCCTTGGGGAGGGAGGGCTCTGAGGCTCATCGAGAGAGGCCTTCGCTGATGGCTCAGCTGGAATCAGATTCCTCAGCACCCTCGCTGTCCCTTACCCTCCATTGCCAGGGGCCAATCTCTTACTCCAGGCTACTTCACTGTGTTTACCTCTTCAGCCTCTCTCCTGTCCTGCTCTCTTGTGGATATTGTCACCCCAAATATACACTTCCCTATAGCCTTTTAAATTTGGAAATACAAAAAGAAAGAAACATCAAAGTCAAGAACTTACTTGTTTCCAAAGTGACACCTCCTTCACCTCCAAATATACAAGCACATAGAATTTTTTAAAGATTTATTTGTTTATCTGAAAGAGTAACAAAGAGGAGAAGGGAGGGATGATGGGAGGGAGAGAGAAAGGAGAGAGAAAAGAGATATCTTCCATCCACTTGTTCACTACCCAAACACCACAGCCAGGGCTGGTCCAGGCATAACCCAGGAGCCAGGAACTACATCCAGGTCTCCCACGTGGGTGATGGAGACCCAAGTACCTGGGCCGTCTCCCACTGCCTTCCCAGAAGCATTAGCAGGGAGCTGGATTGGAAGCAGGATAACCAGTACTTGAAATGGCATTCTGATAATGGAATGCAGGCATTCTAAGAGGTAGCTTAACCTGCTGCACCACAAAACCCTCCCCTAACACCTAGAATTTAGGCCTGATTTTTTTTTCATAGTGAAATGTCTTAGTTCTTACAAATTTAGTTTGCTTTGTGGTTATTTTGCTGCACTAAATCACTCATTCTCTTTTCTCAACTTATTGTCAACCCAGGCTGAATTTTCCTGTCCTGGGCATGTCCCCTGCTCTTAGATCTTCTGGTTGTGGAGTCAAAACTTACCTGGAAAACACCCAAGTACCATGGCAATTTTTAATATGATTTTTAATATGATTGCTGTAAAGTAAGGCTTCTGAAAGATGAAGAAATTCTGAGAATAGGCCCTGGACAGGTTGAGTGGAGCTTCTAAAGCAGTGTGAATTAGACAAAAAATAGAATATTAGCCAAGTTTAGGCAAGATTTGCTTTCATAAAAGGTAGATTTACCATTAAGATGAGATGTATTCTGTTTAATATTATTAATTCTGAAGCAAACAGAAACACTGTCTGGCATATGCATTTTTTCTGTTCTTATACTTGTTTGTTTCAAAACACAAAATAAAAACATACAGACATTCTCAGTTGCCTCCTCCTACAAACTAACCAAAAACAAGCAGCACCATGTTATTTCTCAAAAGATGTGATTATCACTCTATTGGAAGGTCCATCAAACTCACTCTGTGCAATAGAAGTGCATTGTAGGACCTTTTTTCTCTTTGCTTCCTATTTTTAATATTATTGTGAAATCAATGCATTTGCTTCGCATTACCTGTTAGAACATTCCATCTTCAGATTTGGATGAGTCTGAATTTATCAAAGTGATATATGTCTGATTTTTAAATGGAAAATTTAACATGTGATTTTTTGGTAAGATTTATTTATTTATTTGAAAGAGTTACAGAGGAGAGGCAAAGGCAGAGAGGGAGAGAGGAGAGAGAGAGAGAGAGAGAGAGAGAGAGAGAGAGAGAGAGAGAGATTGTCCATCCGCTGGTTCACTCCCCAATGGCCAGGGCTGGGCTACACCAAATCCAGGAGCAAATAACTTCATCTGTGTCTCCAGGTGGACCTCAGAGGGAGATGCAGGCACTCACTGTGCAATTTTCCTGATACCCCCACAAGGCCTGAACACTTTAGGGTGGGCTCCTACTCATGGCAAATCAGTTTTAAGATTCAAAAAATTTCAAACCTCTTTCCTGATTTTCTTTTCAACACACAAATGGAATAATGCATTTGGAGTAAGGAAGAACACTTAGAAAGCAAAACAAAACAAAACAAAAGCAGCGCTTGTCCTTAAAAGCTGCGGTCTCCCTAGGATATCATTTTCATATTAAATAAAGATGTAAAGAGTAAAGTGTGCTTAAAATCTCCCACAGATGTTAGAAATAAAATCTCCAAAAATGAATGCGTACAATAGAGCAAACTCAGGATATAGCTCATCATTATGGAGAATGAAAATTAAAGCACAGAAGTGTCGGTAATTCTGAGTCAGGGCAAGTGAATGTTAGGGCACTGTTTAGAAAACAGGAATTTATATTTCACAAATGTGTTGCAGTCTTAAGTATTTTCTGATATTTTTTACCATTATAAAATGAGTGATATGCTAACTTCAAGTGCAATAAATGAATTTTTTAAAGGTTATGAAAATATGTATCCACTTCAACAAATTCTGTTGAGTATCTAGGGTATCTGTGTATCAGAGGCTTTTGTCCTCAGTATACCAGGACAGTTGCCAAATACACTCCAGAGTGCCAGGCTTTAAAAGGTGCTAAAGAGAGCCTGCCCGATTACCTGAATTCCAATTTGGCTCGCAATAAAAGGTAGAAAAATTACTGAAGTACTTCTCAGTGTTGCTGCTCCAGTTGCAATAGACCTTATCTAATAGTTTATTACACTCAGAAAACAAAGCATATTCTGAGAAGAGAATCCACGTCCCCGTCTCTAACAGAACGGTCACTTTGAATTCTTTTGTCGATTTCATAGATTTCTAACAACCAGAGGATTGTTTTTTTAAATCTGATTTTTATGCCAACAGCACAATTTCCTCTTCTGTAAAGTAGGACAGATTCATCCCACAAGCAACAATGGCTGTTTCCCTGCTTAACTCAAGCATGACAGATTAAGCTTCATGCAGACCAGTAAATGCCACCTCCCCACTTAAAGAGACTGTTCAGAGGCAGGCAAAGCCAGCGATGGGTCCCTGCCCTCCCAGGCAGCCACGCAGCCCTGATGGAGTGAGCTGCCCAGACGGCGCCCTGGCAGGGCTCAGGCGACATGCCTCATTGAGGGTGCTTCCAGGCAACCCCCTCGCCTCCAGATTGTGCCCACCTCAGGAGAGCAGCCTTGGACAATGCCTGACAGAAAGCAAGCACTTTGCACACACTTGCCGAATATAAAAGGGGAACATGGGGGAAGAACATGGAAGCTTAGAGATGCTTTTAGATCTTGCCAGATAAAATGCTGTTATTTCTGGCACGGTAGTTAGGTGACTTGAAGAACAGCTAAGAAGTAGGAAAAAAGAATTAATGAAAAGGCAAAGTAGTAAAACACAAGGAAACCAAATAAGCAGGAGCCCAAACCTGTGACTGACCCATTATATCAGAAGATGATCTTTGATTGGCATTTGCAGTATGATGCTTCCAGATGCTTTTGAGGGAACTGTGTTTGGCATAAAGAAAAGAAGACTTGCTTCCAGGATTGTATGAGGACAACCATTATTAAGATTGCTTTGAGGGCATTGTTAAAATGCTGTTAAGTTTGCTCCTTAGGTATGGCATATAGGACTGTAAAAGCAAAACTGTGCTTTTTTTTTTTTCTTGACACAGAAATAGAATTTGCCTGTCGATGTCAGATAGAGACTGAACCAACAGTACAAAAGCATGACTTCTACCTTCCTCACATGTGTGTAATTGGAGGCTATTATGCTTGTTGAAATCTGACAGCTACATGAGTGTATTTGTCATTTATTCCTTTCCTCAGGTGCAAAGAAGGCTACCAGGGAGTCCGTTGCGATCAATTTCTGCCGAAAACTGACTCCATCTTATCGGATCCAAGTAGGTCAAGCGTTTTTCTTCTCTCTTCTGCTCTGCATAGGCAGCCCTTCCTCTGGGCAATGGTTGTGAACTCAGCTGAGGGTTGTAGTTCACCCGTGTGTCTCTGGGTCTCTGAAAGCTGCCAAGGACAGAAGCTGACGACAGAGGTTCAGGTTCAGTGCTAATGCAGGGCGGTTCTTCTCCAGCCGTGGGGGCTGCCCTCTCCAGTTTCCACATTCACCCTCTGCTGGGGCCTCCCAGCGGGTCCTGTGCCCACCCTCCCAACTCCAGTACAAAAAAGAGGGATAAAGAGAAATTTACCTTCTACAAATGTGGTGGAAACTACAGTATCATATTGGTTTTTAAAATGTTGGTTGGTAATTTGTGGCAATATTAAAGCCGTGAACATTTATTTTACTTATTTAAGCAAGAAAAGATACACATGATATCATATAAGAACTTTTCAAGAATCTTTGAAAGTTGCATTCTGAGCAACACAATTCGCATATCAGCAATTTCTGTGCTAAGAACAAATTATTTTTTTCTCCATCATGAAAGAAGTTAATTTGCCACTGAAAAATATTGCTAGTCATTAGTTCAGATTATATATGGAGTCAAAGTAACTTTCTATACTAAATTTCCCAAAGCTGGTCAAATGTGAAATTTTTACTTTCTCTGTAAATAGTCAGCTCTTTCAACAGCTGTGACAATTGAATCACTACTAAAGAAAGGGGAATTTTATTGAATTGGCAATTTAGTTCAGTGAGGATAATGACAAGCGTTTCTAAATCCTAAAGGCAATTTATGGTTTTCTGAATATTGAAGTGCATAACACAGACTTGGGCAAAATATTTTGTATTGATTAAGACAGAAGTCGCGCTGCCTGTGAATGTGCAGTGACCATGTATTGAACATACCCTGCTATCTTTCAATATCTTTTCAGAATGTGTGTTTTCATTCTAGCTGTCTCTCCTCAGGTAAATGAAAAGTGCTTTCAAAAGGAAAAGTTCTAATTCAGTCTCATTGTTTTGTGTTGGCTAGGCAACCCACCACACACCGGAGCGAACTCCTCCATTCTTGGCAAATGTAGCTCTCCTGGAGAAAAGTGAGACACGCTTAAAAGCTAGCAGAAAACCCGAGATCTCTGTCCCTTGGGACGTGGGGGACTCTTCTCTAGGAATTACCCGATAGGCCCATGTTGCTGGAGTGTTTTGCACCTTGTTTATCTTGCGATTTTAGCCACTTCCTAAGTTGGTGTCTAAAACACTTTTCAAGACTGTAAATGGAGACATCTATTTGGAATATTAGGAACCTTCCAAAAAGAAGCAGCCGATGACGTCATTCCTGTGCCCTCCCTCCCACCTCCCTTCCTTCACTTTCTCTCTTTGCTTTGCATTTCCTGCTGTGTTAGTTTCCCTCTTTGGTTTCCTTTCTTTTATTCCTTGCTCATCCCTTCTCTTTTCCCTTTTCCTTCCTTCCCTTTCTTCATTATTTCCTTCTGCCTTTTTAGGCATCCTCCCTCCCTCCCTCCCTCTGTTCTGTTTTCTTTTTTTCTTCCTTCATTCCTTTTTCTTTTCATGCGCAGCTGTGGCATACAGGATACTGGTCAAGGTCTTGTGTATGGTACCGGGTGGGTACAATAATCTCTCTTTAAGCAATCTCATCTAACATTGCTGTCGATTGAATACCAAATCTGTCACTGCAAAAGCTGGTAATGAGGCCCATCCTGTGTAACAACTCCGTGTTCCCTAAGGAAAAGTGACCCCATGATCACAGCCACTACCCTGGAAAACCTAGGCCTTTAATGCATAAAAATAGCTTATACAGTTATATGATTAACAGTCAGAGTATGGAAACATTCTCTATATACCCAACAGGATTATGTTTAAGTAAAATGTCGTATGGCACATCTATCATGCTCAATTAAATTGTCAGTAAAATGACAGCTGTATGAAATTGTTTATGTTAAATAAAGTCGCAAAATTTAGTATTATTTTTATAGAAGATTTCAAAAGGAATAGCCTTCGGCCCAAAAGTGGAAAAGAAACACGCTAAAATGCTCAAAGGGAGTTTTTAGTATTTCGCTTGTAGGATTATATGAAATCCTTTCCTTTTTTCTCCTGTTGTCTGTACAGTGGCATATCACGATGTGAGAATGAATTATGCCAAATTTCTTAAAATAGAAAAACAGGATAAGCATTGAGAACCCTGGGTTTGTCCCTGACACAGAGTTTAAATGGAAAAACGTGTCTCCCATTCATCCCTTCATATATTAATTTAGTTATTTAATCATTAACTTGTTACAGCAATGTTTTATGACCATCTACGATGGACCATCTATTAGGTCAGCTTCTATTAACACAAAGTGTGCACAGAGCATACTGACCTGAGGACCCTGCACAGTAGTGAGGGAGAAACACGTGTGCACATGTGAACATGGATGTATTTGGTGTAACATCTACCCCTGTGTGGTGCTGGCAGATTTATTTGGCTCCCAGACCTCAGGTTTTCTCCCTGAACAACTGCAATAACACCTCTAGGCATCCATCATTGAAACTGGTGAAGGCTCAAGCAGCCCACTTACCTTACTCATTATTGCCACTGTTCATAGGGGGTGAAAGGTTGCATGTGCCATGCTCTGTGCCCAGGAGCTCCACCTGCAACATTTCACTAAACCCTCACAGTCTAGCAGAGTGGACTGAAAATGGCCCGCAGTTTATAGATGAGGAAATTGGACCTCAGAGATGCTAAATAAACTTGCTCAAGGTCACGCAGCTATTTAGTGCTGGAATCTGACTTCCACCCCAAGCGAATCCAGGGCCCAAGCTCCCAACTGCAGGGCTCTCTCCTCCCTCCCCTAGACCCCTTCCTCTTCTGGTTATTTTCAATAGGACATTTATCACTCTAAATCTCATTGACTGAAACTCAATGACCTGCGGCAGACATTATTCTAAGGAACAATATTTGCACAATTTTCATATCTTAATGCAGCAACTTGAGCTTCCATAGAGATTTAAACCCCTAATGAAATTTCCTTGTCAAAATCCTTGCTGAAGGATTGTTTAATTTGGTGCCCATGATATCTTTGGAATGAGTCTGTGCTCAGGAAATAAGCTTCCCTCCAACACCCGCTCTCCATTTTTCACCCTGTGTGCCCTCCCTTCCCTCCATCTTCTTCTCCTTCTTCCCTCTTTCCCCCCCTATTTGCTTGTTGCAAGCTTCGGCCTAGGGAAATGCAAATTAACATTAAGGTTAGAAGCCTCCGCTGTTTCCTTCTCCCGCAAGCGATGGACAGTTTTCAGAAATGTGCCCTTTTGACAATACATTAAAACATAGAATGAAATAAAATTTCAGACTACATACATGCATTTGAGGAAATGATTCACCGGTGTCACATTGAGAGCATTATCCTAGGCTTAGGATGTGTCCCCTAATGCCTGTGAGTTTGGAGTTTATCAGATCATCCTACAGAGCCCATGTCCCACAAGTCACATTCAGGAGAATAAGCTGAGATTCAGGTGGATACTGGAAGGTAGAGAAAGGAACAGGTAGTGGTCACGGTAAAGATGTCACCTTATGGCCGGCGCCGCGGTTCACTAGGCTGATCATCCGCCTAGCGGCGCCGGCACACCGGGTTCTAGTCCCGGTCGGGGCGCCCGGATTCTGTCCCGGTTGCCCCTCTTCCAGGCCAGCTCTCTGCTGTGGCCCGGGAGTGCAGTGGAGGATGGCCCAAGTGCTTGGTCCCTGCACCCCATGGGAGACCAGGAGAAGTACCTGGCTCCTGCCATCGGATCAGCGTGGTGCGCTGGCTGTGGTGGGCCAGCCACAGCACGCCGGCCGCAGCGGCCACTGGAGGATGAACCAACGGCAAAAGGAAGACCTTTGTCTCTCTCTCTCACTGTCCACTGTGCCTGTCAAAAAATAAAAAATAAAAAAGAAAGGAAAGAAAGAAAAAAAAAAAGAAAGGAAAGAAAAAAAAAAGAAAAAGATGTCACCTTATGTGTAGGGGCCACCACCAACCAGTACAGCATTCCTGCAGGGCATATATCTGCACAATGCTTCTGCCAGCCCTGCCCATAAATGGCAGCAGACAGCTTCCAGGAAGCCCTGTACTCCTCTTGACTGTTCCTAATTCATTGCTTCAGAACCAGCTTCTTTGACCCACAAACAGTGCATGACCCTGCAGTCCTCTGTCCTGTTTTCCTTTACAATCATTAACTCCCACACAAGTCAGGAACACCCTTAGCCTTGAAGCAGAGCTGAGGCACCATGCATTGGCCAGGGGTTCAAGCAGATATGTCCATGAGTTCTTACCAATATGCTAACATTACCACTGGCCCGAGGGAGCCTGAGAGCAGTTCCAAAGAATAGATTCAGAGCAGCATCAGAAAGCAGGGTAAGGCTAAGGAATTACCATCAAAAGTGAGGGCCCTCCTCCTCATACATAACTAGGCGTGGTTATTCCCAGACTCTCTCCTCTTCTCCCCATCTGCATCCCATACCCAGTATGTGCATAGCTGTGCAGCAGGTAACAAGTCTGCAGCCTCAAGCTTTGACATGAAGCAAATGCAGCAGAACCTCTCCCACTCCATGGGAGGATGGGAACTAACTTCCAGCACTGGTTCATAGGTGCTTAATTACATTCACGCGTTGCTTTCTTTGGATTGGAAGCCGAGCTCTGCTCTCAGAATTGCCTGAAAGATGCCAAGAGCCAGGTCTAGATGTGGATTAGAGGAAAATCAATGGAAAAAAATGATAATGGTTTAGGTTTCCCATTACCCCAAACCAGGCTTGTGCGGCTCAACTTTCCGGGAGTAATCACTTTGAGAGTTCAAAGAGTAAATCCACCACACCATGTGGTTCTGTCTCGAGAGAGAGAATCAGGCAGGAAAAGGAGCCACATCTGAATAATCTGCAGGGACAACTCATCAGGTGTGGCACTGCCTCCTGCCTTGTGTACCAGGAAGCCCTCGGGATAGTCACCCCTGCTCTCAGTGCCCAAGGCATCAGGCCCAGGGTTG